CGGGGCTGGCGGTGCCCGGGATCGGGGGCCCCGCCGCCGCCGCCGCCCCGCCGCCCGGAGGAGCCAGCTGGGGAGAGGGCAGCAGCAGCAGCAGCAGCAGCCCGCCGCCGGGCGGGGAGGTGACGGGCTCCCTGAGCGCAGCCTTCAGCGGCCCCAAGATCGCCTTCTACGTGGGCCTGAAGAGCCCCCACGAGGGCTACGAGGTGCTCAAGTTCGACGACGTGGTGACCAACCTGGGCAACCACTACAACCCCTCCAGCGGCAAGTTCACCTGCCAGGTGCGCGGCATCTACTTCTTCACCTACCACATCCTCATGCGCGGCGGCGACGGCACCAGCATGTGGGCCGACCTCTGCAGGAACGGGCAGGTGGGTGCCGCAGGGAGAGAGGGAGGCAGGCCCCGGGCCAGTCCGACGGCCTCGGGGTTCGGGGTGGCGGGGAGGGACCTTCGGGCTCGTTAAACGGAACTGGGGGTGGCGGCGGCGCTTTGAGCCCCTGTGGCCGGCTGCTTGGCATACCCGGGACCAATGCTCCCTCTAAGCTGTGGAGTCTTGTGAGCAAAAATTCTACTTTGTGAGCTGCTGGCATTAAAGTTGTGAGCGAGCGATTTGGCCACTGCATTAATTAGTTTGCTCTGGAGCCCCATCCTTCCTGAGCTAAGACAAAAATGTGTGAGCCGGAGGCTAAAAAACTGTGAGCTAGTTCACACAAACTCAGTTTAGAGGGAACACTGCCCAGGACGCCTGCTAATCTCGGCCGCCTCGCAGCTCCCAGAGGCAACTGTGGTGCGGCCCGATCTCGCACAGTTGTTGCAGGGATTTGGAAGCGAGGGCAGGAGGTGCCAGCCGGACCTTATCCTGACTGCGAATGTAGGGAAGGATCCCCCAAGAAAAGAACTCATCTCCGTAGGGCTCCTACATTGGAGAATTCAGCAAAGGGGAATGCTGAGAGCATGGGCTCTGTGGTGGGTGGGGAGACAACGATCAAAGGGACCCTGATGTTTTCCTGTCAGCCTAAAGGGGATCCTGATCTTCAGAATTTACTGGAAAGAATTTCATTTTAAATAGAGGTTAAGGGGGGGGGGCAGCGGCAATGTTCCTTCTAAGCTGTGGAAGTGGAGTCAGGATAAAGCTCTACTTTTTGAGCTCCTGGAATTACAGTTGTGAGCCAGTGATTTCGCTTCTGCATAAATCAGTTTACTCTGGCTCTGTCCTTCCTGAGCAAAGACAAAAAAATATGTGAGCCGGAGGCTAAAATACCATGAGCTGGCTCACAGTAACTCATCTTAGAGGGAACACTGATGGTTTTTTTTTTTCCTGTCCTAGAAGGTGTGTGCATGTAAGGGTGGTCAGGAACAGGGCTCCTGGTGGGCAGCAAGACTGGAGTCCAGCAGCCCCTTACAGACCCAGAAGATTCCCGGGGCATAAGCTCTGGAGAGTCAAAGCTCTTTTCCTTGTTGATCGGAGAAAGGGGGCCTTGGCTCTCAAAAGCTTGTTGTGCCCTGGAAAGGCCCTTTGAGGTGCTCCTGCACTCAGACCTTGCTCTTCAGCTGCAGTCTAACAGGGCTACCCACCTGAAACTGTATCTCTCTACCTGAAACGACCTCCGAGAGTCTGGGTTCAGGTGGGATATTCTGGTGGGACACCTTGAGTCTTCCAGTGCAACTGGAGTGAAAAGATTCCCTTGGGGTCCTTGAATAGGAGCAGGGAGGGACTGTCCCTGCAACCTTCTCCCCTGCTTCGTTTTGTCCCTTGTTAAGAGCGATTTTCCTTTGCCACATCTTCCGCACCCAGCTTCTCTCTATAGGTGGCATAATTGGTCCTGTAGGTCAGATTCCCCGCACGGGTTTCGCTTTCCTGTTTGGTGCCCTAGTATAGGATTTTACCCGATGTCAAGGACTCTTCAGCTCTCTGCACTCTCCCTCACAAGGGCTCATCCTTCCAAGAGGCAGTGAAATGCTGGTTTTACCAGAGCCTGTTGGGATCCCTTTCCAAATAGCAATGTGTGTGTGTTCCTAAGTAGCATATTCCTCTGCCGATTATGTACAGCAGGTATGTCCAACAGGTAGATCGCGATCTACCAGTAGATCGCGGAGGGGTCAGAGGTAGATCACCAGCCCCACTTGGTCTCCTGGTATAAAATAAAATAAAAAACGTTCGCAGTTCTTTCTGGATCTTCGTCTCTCTGTTTTGTTTTTGCTTATTTTGCTTACCAGTAAATGACAGAAGGTGCATTATAAATGGGGGGGGGGCGGTGGAACCCAACTTTAGTGGGTTAAAATCTAATTTGAAGCTTTATTTTTATGGTGGTAGATCACCGGCACTTTTGGCCGGAAAAAATAGATCACTACCTGTTCGAAGTTGGACATGCCTGATGTACAGAATCTTATTTCAAACAGAGCCTCACGACCCCAGGAACCTCCACCCAACAGAGATAGGTGGGCTAAATCTGGGGCCATTCCAGTAAGGGATGGGAATTCCGGCTTGTTCCCTTTACTAGTTGCACATTTAGGGTTTCACTCTGTGTGTGTGTGTGTTGGTGGTGGAACAACTCACACCAATGAAAAGGAGATCCCGACCTTTCTGGCTCGTTCATGCATGCATGACATGTTCAGTTGTTTAAGGACTGTGGCATATGTGCGCAGGGCGGCCACAGCAGAACTTTCAAATCACTTGATGTCACCTCACATAATTTCTGGTGGAGGCTCTTTTGCACATGTGGCTAATGTGCACAGCTCCAGGAGCTGGGAGCACACACGGCCATGGGGAGATTTGCTGAACTGACATCACAGTTGTCCCCACCTTGCAAAAAACTGAACCTAGAATGTACTAAACAGGATGGGAGCAGGTAACCCAACCCTGAAACCTTCAGCAGCACCTAGAAAGTTATTGGTTCAAAAACAGAAACCCGGGTGCTGTCAGTCTGGGGGCCTCTTCGATCTCTGTGCTGAGCCCCTTGGCCAAGCACTGAGATACCATCAGAATGGAAGGGGGGGGGTAGAAAGAAACTTTAGTGGGGCATGCCACAGTCTGAATGGGCACTGTGGTCTCTTGACTTCCTCCTCCTCTGTTAAAACACCCTCTTCTGATGAGCTGGGTGGGTGTCCACCTGCTAAGACCGAGCATAAGGCATGATGCTTGCACGACCCAGAAAGATGATAAATTATCACTCTTAGGCTGTGCATGTGCAATTCCTTTCGATACAGAGCATGAAAAAGGCAAAAGTGGACACCTCCTCCACACGTGTGCCCCAGGGCCCTCTAAACTCAAGGCAGACACCCCTGCGTGGCCACCATCCTTTTCTGAGATGCAGGCCATCTTTTCCTACAGCCACAGCTTACTTGCTTGAGCCACACAAAAACTTTGAAAGTCTCTTTGGGCCCCGGGAAAACCAAAGAGCAAAAAAGCAGCTTCCCCTCTCAAAACGTTAGGCTTCTCTGCAGATCCTCTGTTGCAGGTGAGGTGGGATGGGGGAACGGGAGGTTACACTTCATGCTAAAAGAGTGCAGTTTTTGAGGTCAAAATCTAGCCTGTAGAAGCACCTGGGAGGAGAAGAAGAGCAATAGGTGTGACTGGCTCCTCTAGAGGAGCAAATGCTGGGAAAACTGCCTCTGCAGGTGACTTAATTTTTGTACCTGGATATTGCTTGTACCTACAAGGTGCCTGTCTTATGGATGTTCACAATTGCTCATGGGGAGGTGTCCAAATGTGACCCCTGTTCCAGAGAGCACGGACATTTTAGCATCTGGATGAGCAAGACTAGGCCCCATAGGAGAGTCAGTCCATTGGGGGAGGAATGTATTTAGCTGTCTGTAGAATGGGCCACGGGGGGGGGACGGGACAAAATAGGGGTCCTTGGAGCTGGGGATGGGATGGGATTTGTGTTTGTATGATTTTGGGGTTGGCTCTTGCTGGTGTGTTTGGTGGAGGAGAGGGAATCCCAATCTGGAGGCCCTGATGACTTTGGCAGCCCTGCTGAAAAAGAGAGTGAGCAGAACGGGATTTGGGGCAATGGAATATGAATAGGGATCCGTTAGGATTTTTGAAGGCAAAGGAGTGAACATCCAAAAGGGGGGGGGGATGCTCAATTTACACACCAGTGGTGCCCGAGCACTCGCAAAGCTAGTTGCAATGGCAAAAGGCTCACCAAAGGGGCTTCTCCTTGTTTGTATTTGACGAAAGCAATCCTTTACGGAGTCACCCCAAAAGGATGTTAAATATTTAGGCTGTGGAAAGAATTCGAATGGATCCGGGAGAAAGGAGAGCAGATAAAGGAAAAGGAGGAGAGAAGAGATCTGCTAACTGATGGAGAAAAACTATGAAAGGGTTTAGAAGGGCACAAGGAGATCTAGGGCAGTGGTGGCGAACCTATGGCACGGGTGCCAGAGGTGGCACTCAGAGCCCTCTCTGTGGGCACGCGCGCCATCGCCCCAGCCAGGCCCAGACCATCATTAAAGTATTCTCTGCCAAATAATTTTAAGTCAATGAAAGCCTTTGGGATTGCTTTCCTTACTTTGTTTGGATCGTCTTAAATTAATGTATGGGTGGTTAACCTCAGTACTCAGGTTAAATTGCCGTGTTGGCGCTTTGCAATAAATAAGTGGGTTTTGGGGCGCAGTTTGGGCACTCGGTCTCTAAAAGGTTCGCCATCACTCATCTAGGGTGGGGTGTGGCGCTGCTGTGCAGGCTGGGAAGGAACACGGTGAGGTGAGGAGAAAAGGCCCCGCATGAGAAGTTTAGTGATAGAACTCAGTGCCCCAAGACGTTAGGCCGTCTTCACCTCTGGAGGTTTTAAAAACCAGGCTGAATTGGCATCTGTCTGCAAGGATTCAAGCAGAAAGAATATTTCCAGTCAAGGAGGTTAAGCTATACGTCGTTTACTGTCATGTCCAATGTTCTTATTCTGCACAAGGGAGTGAAGGAAAAAGAAAAGGGGGGGGAGATCCTGGTGGAAAGGGGAGTGAAGACACGGGAAGGGAGAAAACAGCAGGGACAACGGGACCCTTGTTGTGGTTAGAATAGGTAAAGGTAAAGGTTCCCTTGCTCGAAAGCCAGTCGAATCCGACTCTAGGGTTGCGGTGCTCATCTCCGTTTCAAAGCCAAAGAGCCAGCGCTGTCCGAAGACGTTTCCGTGGTCATGTGGCCGGCATGACTAAACACCAAGGCGAACGGAACGCTGTTACCTTCCCACCGAAGTGGTCCCTATTTATCTACTTGCAATGTCTTGCTTTCGAACTGCTAGGTTGGCAGGAGCTGGAACTAGAGACAGGAGCTCACCCTGTCTTGCGGCACCCGGGTCTTGAACCCCTGAACTACTGACCTTCCACAGCCTGCAGTTCAGCATCTTAACCACTTGAGCCACCGCAGATGTGGTTAGAATAGATTAGCATAAAAGGAAGCCAAGGGGGAGGGAGGATTTGAGGAATGTAGAGAAGGTGGGGTGAGCAGCAGCAGCCAGGGGAAGGGATGTGTTAATACGAAAGGGGGGGGGGTCCTCAAAACATGGGATGCTCCAAGGACCTGGATCCACCTTCTTTGTTGCACGCTGTCTTTTGCAGGTGCGAGCGAGTGCCATTGCTCAAGATGCAGACCAGAATTACGACTATGCCAGCAACAGTGTGGTGCTGCACCTGGACTTGGGGGATGAGGTCTATGTCAAACTGGATGGCGGCAAAGCCCACGGAGGCAACAACAATAAGTACAGCACTTTCTCTGGCTTTCTTTTGTACCCCGATTGACGAAAGTGAGCATCCAAGGTGTGGGCCCATCGCCTTGTCCCCACCATGCCTTTCCTGGGGTCTGCAGTCTCTTCAGGTCACTTTTAGTTCTACTCTAAACAAACTGTACATGTCATTGATTGCAGCGTGAAAGAGAAACAAGCGGCTTCCTCCCTTTCAGCCATTGGTGTCTTTTCTCCCTCTGTCCTGTGGTTCGCTGTGCTATGAGATGAGTAGGGTTGAATGCATTAACTGAATAATGTGTACCATTAATTGATTCATTCATTGATCACTGATTCAAAATGAGGATTTTAATCCACAGAGACTCGGGCAAAAAGGGGAGTTCAGCAGGGATGGATCTGTTGTTGTATAATTTACCAGACACACAGCATGCTTTGGTTCAAATTGGAGCTGATTTGTAGAAACAGGATCCCCCCCCCCAATCCCATTTTAAACTTGCTTTTCCTCCAAAGAGCTCAAGGCTCTCTATATCAAAAGCACTTCTCTGTAAAAGTAGGTTAATCTGAGAGAGAATGACTGGCCCAAGCTTGGCCAGTGGGGGATTTTAACCCCAGGCTCCCTAGGCCGAAGATGACACTCTCTCCACTGCCTCTCACTGGCTTTTGCTCAACAAAGTTGTCTTTCCTGTTCCATCAAGAGAATGTGTAACCTTCAGTACATTGACTCAAAACATCCCAGTGCTGTAGGGTTTGCCTGGTTTCATCTACATGCCAGCGGAGGGTGGGGCTCTGTGGAGTGGGGTGGGGCTCTGTGATGCAGTGACAGAACACGGAAGTGACATCATCATGTTGGGGATGTTGTGCAGTGACACACTGGTTTGAGGGCAAAACTCTATGGTAAAATTGCCCTCAAACCATAGAGTCCTGCCCCCAAACCAGAGTGTCCCCAACACGATGATGTCGCTTCCAGGGGATGTCATCACTCTGGGGACATTGCCTGGTGTAGTTGCTGTTTGTGGGTGGGGTTTCCCCCACCAGCCAACTGGCCAGCAGTGGGCAGGAGACCCCAAAATCTGGGGATTCCCTGCCAGGACCTGGGGGATGGCAACCCTACAGTGCTGGAATAATAAATACTGACTTTATCCAGTCTGATAAATACAAAATACCACCTGTCCCAAGGCCACAGAATCACCTGAACAATCATGAAAGAGGTTTCATATCCAGGTTTTCTTGGTCTGAAGTTGTTCACAGTCATAGTGCCTAAAACTCTGTTCCATTGTTGGGAATGGGATATATATTGACGACTGAGTGTGTAGCTTCACACACACACACACACACACACACACACACACACACACACACACACACACACCTGCAGATCCAGTCACTGATATTTGAAATTTCAGATAGGAGGACTGCAACCATATATATTGTATTAAATGAAGTCAAATAGAGATATTTTTACTTTCTTCACAATTACCCTGCCTTTCTCCCAGTGGGGACCCAAAGTGGCTTACGTCATTCTCCTTTTCTCAATTTTCTCCTCACAACAACCCTGTGAGGCAGGTTAGACTGAAAGTATGTGACAGGCCTGAGGTCACCCAGAGTGGGACTACAAACAGAGGTCTCTTGGATCATAGTCCACCACTTGGACCACCAAATCACTTTGGCTCTCGTTCATTAAACAGGTATTATCTCCTCCCCGATTAAACACAGGCAACCAGTCAAGGGACACAGCAACTAGTGTTTTGAAACCAGCCAGCCCATTCTGTATATGAAAGAGGCCAAGGTTTTAAAGAAATAGCTACATTAAAAAAAAAAGCGGCTGAATTCTAGCACTTTATTTCTCTTTATGTATTATTATTGCTTTTGGAGAATAGGACAGGATTATGGTGAAATTGCACTGACTGTTCCTATGCTGCTTGGTGTGTAGGAGATTTTATTATAACCATTTTGATTTCTATTCTATAAATGAATATATTTATTTTCCTCCATTCACCCTTGTGCAATGCAATACTTGTATGGGTGATGATATCGCTATATTAAAAAAGTAAAAATCTCCTGTCTTTAAAGCAAATGAATGAACACGAGAAAAAGAAATATCACATTAAATTATTTTTTTTGAGAATGGGCTTCTCCTGTGTGTCTCTTCTGATATTGCCTAAAGGAGGGGGAAGTGGATGGAAACCAGAGAGTGGGACTGCTTTAACTTTTCAGGATGTGGATGTGTGTTTGGCGTAATCAGGTTCTTGCACTACAGGCACGGTTGCTTGCATAATGCAATGAGGATAATATGGGTTGTCCTGTTAGCAGGTTTTGTGCATTGGGGATCCTGCTTCTATGGTCAGAGGTGAGGCTGGGCAAACCGGAACCTATTGTTTGATGACTACAACAAGATCCTGGATTTCAGAGAGGAAGACCAGCTGGCTTGTTTCTTCTGCAGTTTGGAGGAAGACATTTTTTAGGCAACAGCAGTGTCTGTACTTTGCCTTCCTGAGTCCCTTGAATAAAAGCAAAGGGAGAGACCCCCCGGGAAAGAACAGGATGGCCTCAGTCCCTCTGCATGTCTTTGGGATTCTGAGGACCGGAATCACGGTAATGTGATTTGAAATGGGAAGTGATGGCTCAGCCAGTGTCGAATGAAAATGATCCAGCATTAAATGAGCCTGTGGAAAACATTCCTTTGAATCATCTGCGATGCTCGTGTAAGCGTGGGGAAATTAGGAAAGTCATGTGATGCACAGATATCTTTTAAAAAATGACAAATCCTTCAGAAGGTTCTCTCGTCAGGATTTACGGCTGAAGTTGTCAGTGCTGCATGTCGTCTGCTCGTTCACAAGACAGAGGCGTGCTGATCAGGAGCCTTTTTCAGAACGAACATTTCCGCTGGAGTTTATTCGTGTCTCTTTTTTGCTTTTATAAAAACGGTCAGGCTAGCAAAAATAAGGGGCAAGTGTTCTGTTCTATGAGGCTTTCGGCTTGAAGTTGATTCTTGGGGAAGAATGAAGTTGAAAAGGCTGTGCACACCTTCGGAGGGAGTGGGGAGAGGGAAAGGGAAGCTGACCTGGCTGACCGGTGTTATGTAAGGTGAGAAAGAATAAGGAAGGCACAGCACCAAACAGAGGTGGCAAAATGGGAGGGGGTGGAACCAGACCTGTAACTAGGGATTTTGGGGTGAGGGGGCCTCGGGGGGTACAGCTAATTAAATCAAAGCTAATAATAACATTAATTCAATTTGGGGCCAGCCCGGAAAGCAGGGGCCCCGGAAGAAATGCTAGGGGGCCAGGCCCCGTGGGCCCCACATTAGCTACGGGCCTGGGTGGAACACCAACACAGCAGTTGATTATGTATTTTGGGCATGGAATCATTCTTCCAAGACTATTCTACCACTTATGCATTCTAAAGAGGTAGCTGTGACTGTCAGTTGAAACCAAAACTAGAAACTGAAGCTAACATGTATTTCAGAACAGGTTTTCATGAACCAGAATGCACTTCATGAGAACTATATTGGCAAAGGGGATCCATCACCAGCTGGTAACCTGTTGGGGGGTGGGCTAGGTCCACTCTTAGTCGATCCTTTACTCTTTTGACTGGCCCTTGTTTTCATCTGTGCTCTACATAGGGGTGTAACAGTGCAATCCTATGCAGGAGTACCCCAGTCCAAGATCACTGATTTCCTGGCCTCACTTTGTAAGAACGTCCTCCTCCCTCCTTTCCTCTTTATACCCATGTACAGTGTTCCCTCTAAGCTGAGTTAGTGTGAGCTAGCTCAGAGTTTTTTAGCCTCTGGCTCACACATTTTTGCCTTCGCTCAGGAAGGGTGGCTCCAGAGCAAACTAATTTATGCAGTAGCCAAATCACTTGCTCACAACTTTAATGTTGGTAGCTCACAAAGTAGAATTTTTGTTCACAAGACTCCACAGCTTAGAGGGAACATTGCGGCCATGTATATATATATTTCTGCCGGCTGTGGTTAACACTTCATGCATCTGAAAAAAATGGATTCTGGTGAATAAAAGCATTTGCCACAATAAATGTTTAGCCTTTGAGTTGGCAGAAGACTTTCCCTATATAATTCTTTCACAGAGTGATACCTCTTGTGCTCTTCTGTGTAAATGAAGAAAGGTTTTGTATCCCAAACACACTGGATTTACCACAGTAAACTGTTTTCCTCTCAACTCCCTCTCTCCTGTGCCCCAATCCAGTGTTATTAATGTTATTAATTAATGCAAACAATATGTTTGTAGTGCAATGAATATATAAGTGCTAGTCATTCATTTGTCTGGGCTGTAAACATGTTTCTTAAAAGTAGAACATATCATTCAGGGCTCCCGTATTTTCTCAGGATTCTGTCAAGCAACAATGTTGTCCTGCATTTTCGTTCTCTTTGTGAGTACATCATTTTTGATCAAGAGAGTGTGTGTGGAATGTGGTGGTACACATGTCTGGATAGTGCTTGTGACATCACTGGTTAGGAGCAATACATCCACCCTCTTTAGCATCGTGAGAATTAAAATATGTTTTATTTTACTTACAATGTTCTAGCTACATTTACTATCTGCTCTGTTTTACAAGCCGCCTATGAGTACTGACCAGTGTGAGATATTTAGTTGATGGCTAGGGAAGCTATTTTCCAAGGGAGCACCTCCGTGGCTTCTTTGTCCCAGCGTGTCTCTATGTAATCTGAAACCATAATACAAATTCTAACCCAGTTATGTCTGCAGGGATGTCCTCCATTGTCATCTCCAGTTTGAAACAAGCTGAAGACAAAGGCTCAGCACTATATTTTCTCACACACAAAAAAAACATTCGTTTCCCCTGTTTATTTTGTCCCCCCCCTCCCGAGGAAATATTTCACATAAAATGCCACATACTGCATTTTGAACACTAGTTTTCCTGATCCTGAAAATGTTGTTATACTAGTCAATTTTGATTTTAATATCTATGTTTCTATATTTGTCTATGAGAACAAACCACACATGATATAGACTCGGCTTAGCCTAGCGTGCTACATAGGACTGCCGTTTCTTTCTCTCTCCCATATCAATATACGATACTTTT